TTTATAAATAAGCTTTTTAATATATATTAAGAGCGGGAAGATCGAATTAGCGTATGTATTCTTTAGTATTATAGTATATTTCTTATTTACTATTTATATTTCTATTTTTATGCTATTCGGATAGTAGCTCCTCTATACCCCCTAGTATTATAACGTACTTTTAGTTTACTAAGACTAGATTTAATTATTAGATCTCTTATTGTATAGACGTTTTTAATAACAGATTAGAGCTTATATTTATACTCGTTTATATAGGAGTAAACGCTATCGGGGCGTATAATAGTAATATATTATTTACGTCTATTTAATAAAATTATTATTAGCTATAGAAGTAGCTATAATAGGGCTAGTAAACGTAGCGCCTACTATTTAAGTTCTAAGCCTATAGCGGATTATATATATATTCTAAACTATTTTATATTAAAATAATCGGTATTAGTATAGGATAATTAGTAAAAGTTCCGCTTTTAAGCTAGCTCCTTTTAGGTAACGTAAAGCCGCTATTAAATAACTAAAACTTATTATTATTATAATTACTTCTGGATATATTTTCCTTTAAGTAATTTTATAAAGTAGGTACGTAAAACAGAAGAAGTAGTAATATAATACTAATTTTCTATTTATATAATCCCCCTACTTTTTTTTTATAACTCGCTCTATAATCTAATTAAGGCTTACGTATTAGTTAGAACTCCGTTAACCCTACCTCTATAAGTTACTAAAGGGAGCCTTATTATTCTACTCGTTTAAAAGCTTATATAATATAGATTACTACTTAATAAAAAAAACTAAACTATTATAATATTAATATAACTCGCTCGCGTACTTTATTTATACTTAAGTTTAAACGAACGCTATTTTTCTATCCTTTACCTCCCTTATTAGCTCTCTTAGTATTTTACTTAAACTAATAATAAAGTTCGCCTAGCCCTATTACCTTTTTTTCTATACTATAAAGTATAATATAAATAAGTTATGCGTACGTTATTTTCTACTCGCCTTTATCTAACTACTTATTAGCGGACGGTAATAATTTAATGGCTATCTTAATTAAGTATAAAAAGGCCGGGTCTAAGCTAAAGCTATAGTCTAGCATATTATATTATACTAGTACTAATTATAGCTAAAATTACTCGCTACTCTAGCTTACGCTCTTATCCTCATAAAATATATAGTTATATAATAATTAAGGGGGTCAAGGAAATATACACTCAAAAAAAAGGGGGGACGTACAAATAGGGTCCATTAAATTAAATTATTTACTACTTAACAATAAATAAGCTCTACATTAAAACTAAATAATCAAAGCGTCTAATTATACTCGTAAGCGCTACTAAATTTAATATAACTACGTATTTAGTAAACGCTCTTATTTTACGCTCTTATTCATAAGCTATAGCTTATTATTTTTTCTATTTATAGTTTCTTAGTTATCAGTAGTATAGTATTTAGCGCTAAAATAAGTTCCCTTAAAAAATAAACGTACTTTTTTTACCGCACGCCTATTATAAATTAATTAATAGCAATAACTTATAAATAAGAAACTACGAGCTACGCCGGATTTATACCACTATATAATACTACGTTTTACTCTACGGATAAGGGGACTTAAGAATATATCTCGCTACTAAATACTTACCTTAACATTAAATAAAAGATTTTAAGAGCCATCCTTAATAAAAAGCCGAATATAGATATTATTATATAAGGCTCCCGAACTATACTACAGCTAGTAGCCGATTATTACTTTTATACTATTATCGGATATATACTAAAGAAACCCACCCCCTTCCTAGGGCTAAGACCGTGCCTCGGTAAGCTCGTTTCCTAAAAAGCTATAGGGGCCCATTCGACTTCCCAACCGACAGTACTTAAAAAAAATAGCTACCGTCATACTAATAAATAAATAGCTAAAAACGGCTACGGCTCTAAGTATCTAGCCCGACTTAATATAACGCAGGACGGGCTCTGCGCGCATTACTACTAAAATATAGCAGGCTTTTAGGGTTCGTTAATTACTATTTATCCTATCGTACAGTATATAAAGTACGATCTTAATCGAGCGCCTACAAAGCCAGCGTTATAGCACCCGAGGAGAACTAATAGTTATTAATATTAAGTTATCTTTAACTTCCCTTTTTATTAATTTACTATCTATTGCTAGTTCGTTATTAGAATTAAATTGTAGTAAAGAGACCGCTTAGTAAACTACTTACGAATAGGGAAGTGGGGCTATAGCTCTACGTAATTAAAGGAGAGATAGGTAAAATTCAGGTATTCACTACACTAGAAAGGCCCATTAGAAGCACCGCCTACCAAAAGGCCTAGAGGTTTATATAAAAAAAATATTATTATAATATAAGGCCTTAGCGGCAATACGGCCTAGAATACTATAGCTAGAGTATTAATAGACTTTTCGATATATCTTTTAGGATATGCACTATAGCTTCCACCTCTATAAGGAAATACTATATTCGATTTATATACTAAATTATCGCTATATAAACTACCTTATAACTCGTTACGCCGCCTTTTAAGTAGCTAAATACCCATTAAACTCTAACCCCTTAATAATAGCAATACTACCATATACTTTACCTTTACGTCGCTTTCTTTTTATAAAAAACTTATAGCAATATACCCTAACAATAACCCTTTATTATAGCTTATTATAACTTATTATAGCTTATTATAAATTCTTAAAAAACACTATCCTACTCTCCCCTTTTTTATAACTTACTACTATATATTATTACTACGCTTAGAATAAGTAGGCAGTAAAAAGGGCAGCACGTCGAGAGCTACGTAAAACTACCAATCGACCTCTACCATAATTATTACAAATACGCCGTCGCCCGTATACTACGGCCCAGGGCCGCTATCTCTACGTATTTATATCTTATATTACCTTAGTTTATTAACAGACCGAGTCTACTTATATTTCAGACTATCCTTACTAAAGAAGCTCTCTAACGCCATAAACTAACGTCGGGGCTAGATACTAACAAATAATAAACGCAGGCTAGGTAAGCTCGTATATAATATCGCCGTCGATTACTCAATAAATAACTATACTATAATATTAATATAGTCCTACGTCTCGTTAAACGTAGTACTATACTCTACTAAGTATCTAACCCGGACTACTAATATTACATACGCGCTATCTATTATATAAGCCTTCCCCTCCTACTTTTTTATTAAAAAATATAACCTAATTTATAATAAACTAATACTAAATAGCGCAATAACGGCTAGGCGTTACTAAAAGAAAATCTTAAGCTACTATACGTAAAGAATCGGTAAGAGTAAAATAGCAATATCCTCTACCATAGTAAGTCCGCTACTATTATAACCTATAGTTTATAAATTTAGATATTAGTAGTTAGTAATAGTACGGTCTTATATTAACTATATAAATACGTATTACGTTACGAACGGGACGATAAAGAGCGTGCTATATAATAATAAAATAACCTAGAGGCCCTAAGCAATCCTTTAAAAAGTCTTAAATAAGAAAATACGGCTAAAGAAGAGTACGATCAATAGCTTCACGGCAGCTTAAAAAACGATATAAATTAAAGTTCCGACATATAATATCTAACTCGGCATTAGGACAGGATATTAAAATTCGTAAATACCTAGCGGGCCTATATTACCAAACCTTTTAAATAATAACCCTATTACTAACTAGTATTATCTAGTAATATATACCAAAACTAATACTTATAATATACAAATAAACCGTAGCTAAGGTAATAAAGAGTACTTAATAAACAATATTAAAAAAAATTTTTTAGAGAGTTAGGGTTAAGTACTACCACAAGAATAGTTATATAGTCGTCCCTTTATAAACTACCCACATACTATTTATTTATAAATAAACAAAGCGTTACGATAAATAGTATAAGACTATAGTTAATAATAAGCGTCCATTAGACTTCTATCCTTCACAACGCTTTAGGGTACCCTTTATATAAAGCTCCCTCTACTATTACTATAGCTTTAAAAAGTTAAATAAGCTTCTAAAGAGGAAATAGCGGGGCGGACTTAGTTAATTATTAAACGGGTAGTTCGTCTATATATATATTAAAAGCTCCGATTAAATAATAATATTAAAATAGATATACGTAGTTACGTTTTTTAAATCGTAAGCGGACGTAATAAATATACTACTAATATACTTAGACTAAATAGTAAATACTTTAGCGCAACGAAAGCCTAGCTAATACTATAATTACTTATAATACACAACGGGACTTACGAGAGGATTTTAACAGCCAACGCTATATTTACGGCAGCAATAGTAAGCTAAAGGACTAGTACTCTAAGAATCTAAAATTAATAAAGCATTATATATAAAACGTTAACGAAAAGCTCAGAGATACTTACATAGACGTTAGTAACGGTATTATTAGTATTTCGACGTTAGCCAAAGTAATATCCTATAACTAAAAGTCGCTCCGCTATAAGAGAAATTTAATAAAATAAACGGGGTATATATAGTTCGAGAAAGTACTTCTAATTTTAATCATAATATAGTTAACATAACTTACTTCCTACGCTAAGGCACTAATAATAAAAAGCTAATTATACTACTAGTAGGTAGTTTATGGGCTTATCTCTCGTCTTATACCTCCGTTCTTTTACTACGAGTTTCGTAGTACTATTAGGCTTTATCTCTCAATATTTTATACTTTACAACCTAGCTTAAAAATAACTAGGTAATTTAGGACTCTATACAAGCCATCACTAGCAACACTAATATATCGCATATACTATAGCCTTAAGGGTAGGATCTTCGTTACGCAGTATAAAATATAGAGCATAGTATATAAAATACTCTCTAAACGTTTAGAAAATACTAGGGTAAGTTATCTCTTAACACGCAAACAACATAAAAAGTATATAAAAAAATATAAAAATTTCTAAAAATAGTTATAAGAGAATTATTAAATAACACACGCTTATATATAATAAACTCAGTAACTACTCTATATCTACTCTATATTACTATCGTCTTCTTTTATACTAGGCCCGTAACTTTCGTTTAAGACGTCTAAATTATTATAATCGTTATTTAACCACCCTCCTTCTAATAAATCTAAGTCTTTACTAAATTTAACGTTAAATATATTAAAACGGTAAGACTCGTTACCCTCGCTATTAAATAGGTCCTCGTCTACGTTATATATTAAGTACCCTCCTACTTCTAGCTCGTCGTTACTAAGCATATTAAGAAGTAGCTCGGCTATATCTATAAAACTTATTTAGAAAACGGCCCGTATCTAGTATATAGTCGCTTTATAAGTATTAGGGAATAAGATTTATACATAGTAATATATATATAGCATCTTTTTTAATACCGAATCATTACAAAAATCGAAAGTCGCTAGTAATATCCTAGGGTAAATAGCGTTTTTTAGTACATAGATTTTCTAAATCCGTGCAGAGAATATTAAAACCTATTTAAGTACTTTAATAGTAATAAGTATATTTCTAAAGTTAAAATTTAGTGCCTTATTAAACTTAAATAATAAGTTAGTCCTATTATCTAACGGGCCGTCGTCGTATTCCTTAAGCGCTTTATAAACTTTTAAGTATACTAGAAGCGCAGCGACCTTAATAACGAACTCTTTACTTTATAACGGCCTATATAAATAGCTAATAATATAAGCAATAAACTAATCTCCTAAGGTACTATTTATATCTTTTTTAACTCTATTTAGCGGTAGGTACTACGTATCGTTAGTTAGCCCGCTATAAAGGTAATTAACTACTAAGTAAATAGCGAGGTAGCATCGCTTATCTTATCTAAGTAAGTTAGTCCTAATATTTATTAATAAGAAGCTCCTATAGCAATATAATAATACGCCTCTTACTACATAGAATCTATAATCTCTTCCGGCGCGTTTATAATAATTTAATAAACTAGCTTATACTACTACTAATAAAGAGATTTATATTATTAGCGTTAGGGCTCTAAACTACTTTTATTTTTAAATAAGGTACATTATACTCTCTATACGTATAAGCTCGTATTAATATCTAATACTATTTTTTAAAAAGCGAGGTTCTATATAACCGGATTTTATAAAAGCCACTAATAGCTCGACCGTTAGCGTTTTATATAAATAGCCGTTTTTATATAGTATCTATAATAATAATAGAGCCGTAAAGGGGTCTTAAAATTTATAACTGCGCTATATAGTATATATATATAGTATCTATTTATAAGTATACTATATCGAGACGAGATCGTTTATTAACTTGCCTACTTATAAAAGCTCTAGTTCTTTATATATTAAGTTAATAATAGAAATAGCTTAATATAAGTCGGTTAACCTCGCTAGGATTTATAAAAATTATATTTTATTTATATCTAGCTTTAGTTTTATGTTTAGCTAACGTAGCGTCTACCCTTAAATATAATAATCTATATTACGTACCTCGCTCGGTAACTTATTAGTACTCTACCTTATTTTAATAGTAATTTAATATAATAACTAGACCTTTAAAGCGCCCTTACTAATTAAATAGTTTACTACGCCTACTAAGTAATATAAATAACATAATTACGGCCCTAAGTAAGAGAACCTACGTAACCGACCTCGTAAATAGTACTATATAATCTTAAAAAGTACTAGTTAGTAAGGAATAACGTTTCGAAGAACTTATAAGAGACTCTGGCCGCCTTAAGCAAAAACTTAACTATTAAAAAAGTTTAGCTCTTATAAGAACCGCCGTTATTTTTAATATTAAATAAGTCGTAATATAGCTTTAAAATATTTATAGTTATTTTGAGAGCGTTATAAATAAAATAAAAACTATATTAGTAGAGGAGAGATTAAGCTCTAGCTATTTATCTAAATTTTAATAGAGAGAAGATATAAAGGTATAGACTAGTAACGGTCTAGACTCGCTATTAATAGAGGATAACTTTAACGTACTCTTAGCCTCTATTAAGTAATATTAAAAAGGCTATAACTTTAAGGCCGTTAAGCTAAAGTTAAAGCAGAAGTAGCTACTATATAATCCCAGAAATTAGCTCTAATAATAAGTATACATAGCCTATACCGGGATTCGTTAGGTCTATTTTTATCTTATAATATTATAAAGAGGAATAGAGAATTTATACTTATATATATAACTATATATACTACTATTATTATTTACGTAAATTACTTCTATTATTAAGAATTATAAAGGTACTACGCTATTATTAAGCATAGCTCAAGCGATCTATCTTTAATAACGTCTAGTTTTTAATACCTAAATAGTATTTTGAACCTCTTTTCCATAACTCGCTTCTATCTCTAACAAGCCATATAAATATATCTCGTTAATATTAGAAATTAAGCCTTTTTAATCCTAAATCGTTACTAACTTACCAAAAGAGATACTTTACCAATAAGCTAAAAAATGCCCTTTTTAACTAGTGCGCGTAATTAACACTATTATTACTAATTACTAACTAAAATAAGCTCTATAGCAATATAATAACGAGATAAATACACTACTACGCACTACACACCTTTTTAGTATATTATATATAAAGCGGGCCTCTAATTATAGTTTAGTAAGAGCTTAGCTTTAACTTAACGCTCTTTATATTTTCCCAAATGCCCAGGTTAGCGAAGGAAGTACTTAACTATATTATAAACATCTTTTTTAAGGATAATATATAATATAAAATAGCTACTAATCTTAAGGCTAATCCTATTTTCTTTAGATCTAACTTCGAGCAACTTACGCTTAATAAAAACTACTACGAGCTTTATCTCGTAGCTATATCTATAAATTAGGTTAGAAATTTTTAATACGAAGCTAAGGTAGCCAAGTTATTAAAACGGCCTCGGTTTATAAGCTCTAGGGACTTTTTATACTACTAAGGCCCGAGCTAGCGGTTTATATTAAATATTTAAAAAAATAGTAATAATATAAACTACTATACTATAGTTCGAGCTTATAGCAGCCTACTCTACTAAAAAAGTAACGAGTTAATAACTTACGTACTATATTATAATAAGGGCTAAGGGTTTCTAAAGTATTTCTATATTCTACGCTACCAGCTACCTTAAAAAAAACAATACACAATACCTTTATAACACTCGTTATTAAGGCATAACTCGAGGCCCCTCGAATAGGTTATACTTAAAAAGTAAATATAAAATAGTATTAAGATATATTATCGCTATACTAACTAATATACGAGTTTTTATTAAAACTAATAACGGACAGTATCTCCCACTAGCCCTGCAATATTTAATTAGGTTCTTATACTAAGTCTTTATACGGAGTTATTAAATATAAACAGGTAAAAAAGTCTGCAAATTAAGAGAGATATGCGTTTTAAAGAATTTAATTATAAAAATTTAACTTTGACTTATATAGCTATACTACTTATTAACTACTAAGCGAGATAAACTAATAACCTAATAATATATATAAGCTTATTAAAGCCGAAGTTAAGGATAGAATACTAGCCGGCTACTTATTTACCCTAGACCATTCGGACGTCCTTATTAGCGTTATTTATTAACGTAGTAAATAGTAAGGACCTAATAGTAATTACTAAAAATTAAATATCCTTATATTTCTAAGCTAATAAATAAAAACGCTATTAAAAAGGTCTTTAAAGCTACTTAGCCCGCGCAGAGATTTAAAACTATCCTCTAATTACGTACTTAATTAGTCGTGCTACTTTAAATAAATTTATAGTATATTAATTACTTTTTTCTTAAGATAAAAAGCGATATTTAAGTAACGAAGCCTGTTTATTTAATGTTATATATTAATTACCTATTATAATAGGGGCTAATAGTACGGGATTATCCTAAATAGCCGGCTTATTTAGAAGTAGCTATAATATAGTATTACCGTTAGGAAGCCCCGTAGCTAGTTACGTCCTAGATCGCGCTCTAAATATAGGTAAGCGTCGTTTTTTATATACGTATTAACTACTCCCCTAACTCTAACGCTCGTCTTCGTATTAAAAGAGCTTTAAACTTTTCTAACTACTAGTTAAGTATTATTATTCCTCCTATTACTTATAGCGCTTCCGCTTTACTACCTCCGCTTTACTAACTAAACCCTTATCTAACACGCGGACTTGTATAACTTAATATAAAAACTAATAGTTATTTTTATAACTATAATACTTATTAGCGACTAGTACTCGATACTATTCGCGTAAGTTTAGTATGCCTAATATAGCTAAGATTAATAGGTAAGTAGGTTGAATTATTAGTATATATAGTGTAGCGATCTCCTTAGTTATGTCCTTTATATCCTACTCTAGTATAGCTAAATACTTAGTAATATACTTAGTAAACCCTCTAATAATAATACCTTCTCAGACTTTAATAGGGTATTTTTTAACGCCTATTACGGCTATGCTAATACTTAATAGCGAGACGGAGGCTATATAAGAAGATATTATTAAATTATATACTCCGCTCGCTATTACTATATTATTATTAATAGATTTTTAGCGCTAATTAATAAATATAGAATCGTATTTTAATACTAGAGGCTATGTTACGTCGGTATGCGCGTTATTATCGCTTATAAGGCTGACGTCCTCTAGGTAACTGACCTTTGATAATATTATTTTAGTATATATATAGTAGTCTCTAGCTATTACTTTTTTAAGTATAGCCCTCTAGGAATAAATGATTAGTAGTTATTATAACGCGGGCTCTACTAGCCTTTTAGCTTAGATATATCCTATCTATTTATATATTACGTTTATAAAGTAAGTCTCTCTAAATGCTATTAAGTAGTAAGTAGTTGCTAATTAACCTAAGTCCTTCTTTTCTATAGTCTATATATAGTTAATAATACTTCGAGGTCCTTATTTTAGTAATTTACGATCTAACTTTCTTTTATATAGCTTACGGTTATTATTATAAATAGTATACTAAGTGTAGAACCTATATATATAAACTAATAAAATATTATATACTAAGTAACTCTTATATAAAGAGCTTATATCTCTAAACCGGGTTTATTAATAAATACTTAATAAATGCGGCTAACTCTTCTCCCGCTATTTATAATAGGCCGCTCTCTCTATCGTTTTATAATCTTAATAGCTAGCCTATTTCGTAATAAGGCTTTATTCTTAAGAACGTTAATAATAGAGGTATTTTTAAAAAGAACGTTAAACCTACTCCTCTTTTAATATCGGTCTTTCTTAAGTAGATAACTATATAAAAAGATTAAGAGGCTT